GTCGTTCTGTTTTTGAGCAAGTTCTGGCAAGTCAAACACCTGCAAGTTAAACCATTGACGTGTCGCCCCTGCAAACGAAGTCCTGCGAAGTCAAATGAAATCGGCCTGAAAAATATCGTCACAAAACAAATGAAAAGAAATTTTCACCTCGAATGATTCCGGAGAAGTCTCCGCACGCCGGAATCCGCTCTCGTTGGGTTGCCCGCATAAGATCTCCCCACGGTCGAAGCTGGGGAACAACTCAATCGACTTAACATCTATCCATAATGAGCGGCCAAATGCCCTCTGCTCCATTGAGAATAACTCTGACACTTCACAGATCTTCACAAATGCTGATCTCCACCCCCACTGGTGCCTTCCAAGCAACTGGCACACACCAGAAAGGGGTCGCGGCATCTGAAGCATTGACCTGGACAGCAGGCCCAAATCAGGGCATTCCTTCACCAGATCATTCACTTATTTGAAGTGGCACGAATGCAAATTCTGGGAGTGACTGGTGCATCTTAAGGTGCTTTTGTCTGTCACTAGTCACTCAGCTTCGATCATTGCCAAAGCAACTTCAAACACCGGAGCCAGCGATCAACTGACCAGTCTGACTGCGTGGTTGCATACTCTGTGAAGGCACAAAGGGGTGCAAAGGTGTCTTGTGTTTTCTTGCGGGTTTAAGACGGTGACACACACACACATAAACCTCTATATAAAGACTGATGAAAGATGGAAATAGCATAGGCATAGTCAGCACAAGACTTTATCTTCGATCAAATGTCAACGTGTTGATAGTGGGTGTGAGCAACTCCGGGCCTTTGTTGCCACTAGAGACACTTGCAAAGACATGTCAATTACTGTAACTTCATGCTGGTCTTGTCAAGCGCATGAATATGGTGCAATCGCCCCGATTGCATCGAGATTGTAAAGGCCCTCTGAGGTGAAGCGGTGTCTACAAGCTGAGCGGTCAGCCTTCCAAATAGGAAACATCATCAAAGTGAATGAATTAGCCAAACGCGCCGGTGCAACACCTCGATTACACCGGCCATAAGAACCCTAGAACCCTTAGAACCCCATCGCTGTGTCCACACTGTTTGGGGAATATATAAACATGTATACATGTATATTCAAGTCTTTACCCCATTGGTGGCCGTGAGGGTGGCCGTGACAACGTTAGTGGCAAGATCGGCGGCCTCTGGCGGTTCCCTCAGGCTGTTCGACACCCTCTCGGAACACCCCATCGGTGGTGGTTCTATGTCATACTGCACGACCAACATACCATGCGCACCACTGCGAACCAGCATGTCATTTGATGCGGCACAAACCGGTTTAACCGCTATAAGAAGCAAACCATCTAAAGACTGAAAGCGCCACCCGGTAGACCTTGGTTGACCGATCCAGCAGAAATCGACCAACACATCGCCCGCTTCAAACATGGTCCAACACGACGAGGGGTGAGGTGAACCGGGCATCTGCTTCAGGTGTTGAGACACCGCGGGCTTCAGGTATTGGAACATCCCTTGCTGAACCCGACATGAACGTTTTGCTTTGGATAGCCACGTGGCCCGCCATAGTGTGTGCTGGTTCCAATCCAAGCCACCGGTTCGGAAGCAAAGGGATTTGCGGCATCTGAAGCACTCAAGGTTACCTGAAAACAGGACCCATAATGCATGAGCAGGTTCACGAAGAAACAAAGGCTGTCAATCGCGCAACTTGTGATTTGCCTGCCTAGAACATCATTCTAGTTTCTTATGGAAACATCATCGCATCTACTTCCTAATCGTCCATGAATCAAAGGCCAGGTGCTCAAATCAAAACAAGCAATTGCCCTTTGGTTACAGCAAGCGCATCCATTTGAAGACTGGATTGGCATTTAGGGCGAATCCAGCCAGTTTTTGAAGCATTGCCACGGTTCAAGTTGAACCATCAGTCATCGTATGCAATTGTGTGTGGAGTGGATGAATCGACTTCATTGTCACTTCATTTCAAGTAACTCGACGAATCTGTCCGCGACTGGTCGGACTTGTACTCTGGACGAATCGATGGAAGAAAGAATGCAAATAATGCGAAACGTGGGTCAAAACCGGGACAGCCTGGTTGACAGACTATCTGGGAGCATGGTTTGGGGCTCCGGGTTTTCACCCACAGGGAAACAAAGCACACACACACACACATTTGTCATCCAAGCAACTGGCGCGGACGCAAATGGATTTGCATCATCCGAAGCTACCAGTTGCACCTGAGTGAACCGAGCAAGATAGTCAGAAGTCAGAAAACTTGCAGAAAAAGGCCAACGCCAATAATACATATTGGAATTAAGGATTTTCCTTTCCTGGCTTCTTGTGGGGAAATCCACCTTTCTTCAGCTGCACCTGAAACGCAGCTACTCCAACCGTCTACTGTAAGCGAAACACCCATGGTGTGCGTGTCACTCCCAAATACGCACAAAAGCAGTCAGGCAAAGAATCATTGAAGGTAGAGTTTGGCAACAGTTGGTGACTGACTGACAAGTACTTCTGAAGAGCTGTCTTATTGCTACAGTGCATCGCAGCAGCACTGTGAAATCTGGAACACCACGGCTGGGGAGGAAAAGAACAATGAACAAAAAATAGCAATTAATCCACATACATCTGCTAGTAAACAAAGTATACAAATTCAGAATCTGTGCAAGCCGGGACTGCACATGCTGGGATTGCATGCATTCTCTTTTGGATGCTGTCTGCGTGAATATCGTCTTGATCCTTCTTTTACCCCTTACTTTATGTACACGTGACAAATGAGTCACGGTCAAAATCATTTACATGGCCTCTGCTCGCCTAGCGATTGAGTGAGTCCCCTATCATTTTACTGTGTTTGCACGTTGCTCCTAGAAATGCCACTGCAAAAGAGCTCTTGGACAAGTCTTCGGGCCGAAAAAACTGGGGGGTATGGGACACCCCAAGGCATCCGCAATGCGAGGTTATCACTCTGATATCGTTCCGGTGATCGGTCTAGGCACGCTCCCACATGGCCAATTCAAGAAGGTAATGTAGACTCTTGATTAATACTCCCCCCATATGAAGTGGAAAATCCTCTTCATATGGGGGGGTTATTAATCAAGTCTACATTATACGGTATATGTATCAAAGTTGTTAAGTCACAAACATAGGTGACTTTTTGTCAGTCCCCTATCGTTCTGGAGGGCATACAGAGCACTCCCACAAAATCAATGGGACATCCAAAAGGACGAGCTACCTTTATGTGACTCTATATGAGGCACGCTCAAACCTATTGTAAAGCGCTACTAACTAAAAACGGCATTTGGTCTGCACGAGATGTTCAGTCAACGTCGACACATACAATCCAAGCAACTGGTGCGGATGCGAAGGGATTTGCATCACTTGCAGCAGCTTTCACATTCACCTGGAAAAAGGCAGCAATCACTGTCTTCACTTGCCACGCCCGAAACCAGGTGTTCCGAAATGTTCCAAAAACAAGTAGAGATGGAACTGCGGGGAACAAATCAGGGACAAATGGTTGTGTGGGATCTCTTTCCCTTTCTAGCAACTTCCGGACTTGGAACCCCTTAATTTGACTTGATTGGTGCAACTTCAGATATCCAAAGCTTTCGACAAAATGTGGCCATGGGGTACTTGTCAAGCGTCCTCAGGTCAGCCACTATGTCGAAAAAGAAATGACATGCAACGTTTTGCTGGACATTGTGTGGACATCTTCTTGGTCCGTCTCTTGCTAGATGAGGTCATGTAAAAAACCCTCTTCCTTTCCCGATACCACTTTTGAAGTTATCGTTGTTTCTTCCTTATCATTTTACGGCGCTTTGACAAACTGCAATACTTGTGGTATAGTGTAGTATACAGTATACATTTGTTTGCACTGCATGCATGTGGTATGTGGAACCTTGCCAACATGAAGACATTAGGCACAGTTCATTCCAGCTACACCCATGTGGTGGCCTGCCTACGGAAAGGTGGAGGTGTTATAGTTTTTGTTATCGTTTTCATGCCTGGTGCAAGGTTGGAAAACCATGAGCAGTCCAAGCTCTCCCAACCCCAACCTCTGTCCAAGCTCATACCCACCAAGAGCAGTCATGCCCTGACCCACTGACCCTGACAATTTGGAACAGTAGATTTGTGTTTGCATGTGCGCGCGTTTTCTTCACACAACTTCACGCATGTCAAGGGTTTTACACAAGAGTGATCGGGGTTGCTTATTTCTCGTTTTACGGGAGATTGAGCAGGCTTCCAGAAAAATGAAAATCATGGTTTTGTTTTTTAATACTCTCTCTCTCTCTCTCAAGTCTAGGTGATTTGCCTCTGAAGCGATTGACACCCCATGTTATATGCACGCTTGTCACAACTCGAACAACAATCTTGCCGCATACTTGGACTTGGTGTTTCTATCTACACCGTGACTTTATCGTCAGAAGCTTTCACATTCACCTGGACAAAGAATAGTCACATCAATGGAAAAGCAGTCAATCATATCAATCATGCAACTTGCCATATGGGTCTCTCTTCCATGTTGAAGTTGCTTTTACACCAAAGGGCATGGTTCTTCAACACCAAACAACATCCCCTTGCAAAAAAAAGGCAACTTCCGGCCTCACCCCACATGTCCACATTAGCCTTGCAAGGGAGCCACAAAAAAATCTAACGATCTCTGAATAATTTGAAAAAACAAAACTGTCAAAATTCAACAACTACCCAATCACACCATAACAAAAGCAAAGGTCATGTTTTACCATTTGCGGGCGAACAGGACCATCCGCAACAGGACCACTGAACAGTCGGTGCTGTATTGATTCGACACTCCTTGCACCGAACAGACACGCTGCGAGCTGATGAGCGTGCGCCACGGGTGGGGCTCTGGTGGTGTGCATGTGAGGCATGTCCATTCAACGGGGCCAAGCAGCAAACAAGCAAGGAACGGGCTCTGGCAAACCGGTTGAATGGCATTATATGTCTTTCGTCCTTTTGCCAGCGGGGTCAGTACGTTCCTAGGAAGTTGGGGCCCTGTATGGATGAAAAGGGCTCCCACCAAGCGACGTCCAAGCTTCAGCTTCAGTGTGACTTGCATTCTGCGCCCAACTGCAATTGGATGCTGCCAAGCCACTGGCGCCGATCCCAAGGGATTTGCAGCATCTGCGGCATTCGGTTCCTCAATTAGACATGAGCGCCTTTCAAACAAATATGTGATTCAAGTAACAAGTTGGATTTAGATTTGACCAAAACTAGATCGCACCCACAGCTAGGCTAACTGGAGTTACAGCTAACTAAAGCTGGAGCTGCTGGAGCTAAAGCTGAGTAGATAAAGTTGTCTAGAGCTGAAGAGCTGACAAGAGCTAGAGCTGTTAAAAATCCGTAATGTCTTAGCATGTCTTAGCTGCGCAAAGCTTCTCTAACAGCTTATCAAGGGAAACCCATATCGAGTTTCTACAATGTCGCAAGAAAGGTGATCGAAAAAAAGCATCGCCTTCCATCTCCTACAGTAGGCCGCTCGATTGACTCAGGAGAGGCTTGAAGGAGTCCCAATAAATTGAGGGAGCCTCCAACCTGTATCTGTCAAGCACTTCAATCACTTCAAAGCTTCAGCCATGGATGGTGGATGACAAGTACTTGTTAAGCTACTCAGGTCTTTCTGAAGCCAGTTTGTGGGACGTGGGCAATATTCCTGCACTGCGAGGGGTCTGGGGACGCACATAGAGAAAACAAGGGAAACCAAGAAACCTTCAGACTAAAACCTATTGGTTGGGGGATCTCCCTTGGTGGCTGAAGCTCTTCACTAAGATGAAATGAGCCCGTGAAAGGTCGTCGCAGGTGAACCAACCCCATCAAGAGCTCTGTCAAGTGCAAAGTCACAGCTGCGTGTTCCGGAATTGCTCAGATTGCATATCATTTGGACTGTTGGACAGGCCAAGATCCAAATGAACACCAACAGTGATAGTTTGGCCGCAAGGAGCACATTGCAAAGTGCGGGGTCTTTCGGACAAGTAGAGGCTTCAAGAAACACAAGTGTATAGTATACACTATGCACCAATCCTGACAATGGTTTGCATGAGTGTGCCATGCATGGGTTGAGGCAGTTCGAGCTTGTCATCCAAGCAACTGGTGCAGAAGCAAATGGTCTTGTGTCATCGGATGCTTTCGCGTTCACCTCGACAAGAAAAGCACAGTCAAAAGTTTGAAGGTATGCGAGCAAAAAAGGTTGTTGTCAAACATTCAAATTGCCATTGACATTGCGCATCCACAACTGGTTGAAAGGGCATTTACCTTCCTACAGTCCCTTTGATGCTCGTTTGCACCTGTCAAAACTCCAAAAACAACTATATATATAATGATCAAACCTTTGAGCCATGATTGGATGGCAAGTACTCCAGAATTAGCACAGTAGCCCTTTACCATTATAGTTTACGTGTTCCTGGCTCCAACTAACAGTCTCAGGAATGCCCTCAACTCCCTGCAGATCTTGCTTTCACCCATGGCTCAATGAATAAGCAAATTATTTCTCATATCTCCAAGTAATGCAGCCATAGTACAGACGCAAAAAGCCCCGCGCCATTCTGCGGATCTGATGCATTTGCCTTGGCAACGTTTCACTAGGAACACCACATACAAAGAAGTAGTCTTCCTCTGGTTGCTTTGTCTACCTAAAAAGGCCCCGCACACCTCCTGTCGGCCAACTGCTCTCGGATTGAGATGTTCATCTCCACCTGCACTGGTGCCTTCCAAGCAACTGGCGTGCACCAAAAAGGGATTGCGGCGTCTGAAGCATCAACCTGGACAGCAAGCTCAAATCAGGACATTCCTTCACCACGTTTTCAATGGCAAATGGCACTCGTGCAAAATCTGGGAGTTACTTGCTGCATCCTACTTCAAGGGAGTGTTCTTCTCCTCACACTGACAAGCCTTTTTGTGACTAGTTGCCGTGAAGTGGTGGGGGGGGCACCCTTCAAAAGCGAGTCATCCTATGTCATTCTCCCACTAGTCACGCAGCTTCAATTCCCTGCTCCAGAGGAATCAGCGATCCCATCCGGGTTCAGGGGCATGTACTGTCTCGCACGTGCCGCACATGTCTGGTTCTCATCCAAGTAACTGGCCCGGACGCAAATGGATTTGCATCGTCCGAAGCTACCAGTTGCACCTGAGTGAACCGAGCAAGATGGTCAGAAGTCAGAAAACTTACAGAAGAAGGCCGGCCAACGCCAATGAAACATATTCGAGTTAAGGGTTTTCCTTTCCTGGCTTCTTGTGGGGACATTCACCATTCTTCAGCTGCACCTGAAACCCAGCTACTCAAAC